TTGTATTTGAGGCGTAAGTCTGCCAGTAGTTCCCCTCTCTCTACACACTCCACACTGGTCTGTAGTTATAAACACATAGTCAGTATACCGGTAACTACTAAACACTACAAAACACAATAATATGCACCTTCCAACAAAATTATGTTTTCTTTTATATATTGCATACGACATAGCTAAAATAGAATGTTTAGAAGGTGTAGTACTAGTATCATGTATACTCAACAGTATTATGTAATCATTAGTCTTTTGATGTGATATGAACCTAAACAGTTCCATTAAGTTTGGTACATAAAATGATAACAGAATTGAGACAAACTACAGATCAATAAACGTCGGTCCTAGCTAGTGACATACTGACATACCTGTCGGATAAGTTCATGGAAAACAACATTGTAGATGTCCTGTTCTTTCTTGATCAGCTCCATCAAGTTGTGCATCTGTAAACATAACACTGAAAACATCAATACCATCCTACAGACTCAATAGGTACATCCATATAGACCATCTTAGCTCTCACTAGTCAGAGAGTCAGACAATCTGCCTCTAAAGTGTAGTGTACTTACATGTGCGTAGTACTGTATGTTGTTACAATGGTACCTTACTTATTGTGGTAAGGGTTTATCATTAATTCATAAACCCTTCCCTCAGCTCCCAGGAAACACATCACAATGCATTACAAAAGGCTGTTCATAAGCCGACATCAGACAAACTCCTGTTTCTCACATCAATAAATAATAACATGAATCAATACATCATCAGACACACTAGTGGGTTTATATCTTACTTTACAATTGATACTTGTAGAAATAGCAGCAGGTATCAAGGTGGTTCCTACAAGTCCCTTAATTTTTTTACCTGAGCAAGACCCCTTATTTCCACTCCTACCTTAGACCACTAATTTCCTTACCTGTGTTGGACCCTTGATTTCCTTACTGACTGAGATCCCTGATTTTTTACCTGAGCAGGACCCCTTATTTCCATTCCTACCTTAGACTACAGGTTTCCTTACCTTAGTGAAACCCCTAATTTCTTTACCTAATTGGGATTCCTGATTTTTTACCTGAGCAGTACCCCTTATTTCAGTTCCTACCTTAGACTTTCTTACCTGAGTGAAACCCCAAATTTCTTTACCTAATTGGGATCCTTTATTTTTTACCTGAGCAGGACCCCTTATTTCAGTTCCTACCTTAGACCACTAATTTCTTAACCCGATAGGGATCCCTGATTTTTCACATGAGCAGGAACCCTTAATTCAGTTTCTCCCTTAGACTTTCTTACCTGAGTGAAACCCCTTATTTCATTACCTAATTGGGATCCCTGATTTTTTACCTGAGCAGGCCCCCTAATTCAGTTTCTACCTTAGACTTTCTTACCTGAGTGAAACCTCTTATTTCTTTACCTAATTGGGATCCCTGATTTTTTACCTGAGCAGGCCCCCTAGTTCAGTTTCTACCTTAGACTTTCTTACCTGAGTGAAACCCCTTATTTCTTTACCTAATTGGGATCCCTGATTTTTTGCCTGATCAGGACCCCTTATTTCAGTTCCTACCTTAGACTTTCTTACCTGAGTGAAACCCCGAATTTCTTTACCTAATTGGGATCCTTTATTTTTTACCTGAGCAGGATCCCTTATTTCAGTTCCTACCTTAGACCACTAATTTCTTTACCCGATTGGGATCCCTGATTTTTGACATGAGCAGGAACCCTTAATTCAGTTTCTACCTTAGACTTTCTTACCTGAGTGAAACCCCGAATTTCTTTACCTAATTGGGATCCTTTATTTTTTACCTGAGCAGGATCCCTTATTTCAGTTCCTACCTTAGACCACTAATTTCTTAACCCGATAGGGATCCCTGATTTTTCACATGAGCAGGAACCCTTAATTCAGTTTCTCCCTTAGACTTTCTTACCTGAGTGAAACCCCTTATTTCTTTACCTAATTGGGATCCCTGATTTTTTACCTGAGCAGTACCCCTTATTTCAATTCCTACCTTAGACTTTCTTACCTGAGTGAAACCTCTTATTTCTTTACCTAATTGGGATCCCTGATTTTTTACCTGATCAGGACCCCTTATTTCAGTTCCTACCTTAGACCACTAATTTCCTTACCTGTGTTGGACCCCTGATTTCCTTTTCTGCATCATTAACTCCAGCTCTGTCCAACATCTCACCCAGGGTTTTCTTTAGCTGTAGAACCTCATACCGACTAGACGGTTTCCTAGAAATCCCAATCATAGCCTATTAGGGGGAGATAACCTAGCATTTCATTTACACTACAATCTGGTTTAATATTATTTAGAGGAAAATTACACCACTGATACTTCTGGAGGACGAGAAATCATTATTACTTATAGAAGGAAAGATAACAATGCGTTTTACAGAGATGTGTGATAAATAGGTTACCAATGTTACCTACAGTGTGGTGAACTAAACACAATGTGTCTTATAGAGGGCTAGGATAAACCAATGTTTCCTATAGTGAGGTGAACTAAACACAATGCGTCTTATAGAGAGCTAGTATAAACCAATGTTACCTATAGTGAGGTGAACTAAACACAATGCGTCTTATAGAGAGCTAGGATAAACCAATGTTTCCTATAGTGAGGTGAACTAAACACAATGCGTCTTATAGAGAGCTAGGATAAACCAATGTTTCCTCTAGTGAGGTGAACTAAACACAATGCGTCTTATAGAGAGCTAGGATAAACCAATGTTTCCTCTAGTGAGGTGAACTAAACACAATGCGTCTTATAGAGAGCTAGGATAAACCAATGTTTCCTCTAGTGAGGTGAACTAAACACAATGCGTCTTATAGAGAGCTAGGATAAACCAATGTTTCCTCTAGTGAGGTGAACTAAACACAATGCGTCTTATAGAGAGCTAGGATAAACCAATGTTTCCTCTAGTGAGGTGAACTAAACACAATGCGTCTTATAGAGAGCTAGGATAAACCAATGTTTCCTCTAGTGAGGTGAACTAAACACAATGCGTCTTATAGAGAGCTAGGATAAACCAATGTTTCCTCTAGTGAGGTGAACTAAACACAATGCGTCTTATAGAGAGCTAGGATAAACCAATGTTTCCTCTAGTGAGGTGAACTAAACACAATGCGTCTTATAGAGAGCTAGGATAAACCAATGTTTCCTCTAGTGAGGTGAACTAAACACAATGCGTCTTATAGAGAGCTAGGATAAACCAATGTTTCCTCTAGTGAGGTGAACTAAACACAATGCGTCTTATAGAGAGCTAGGATAAACCAATGTTTCCTCTAGTGAGGTGAACTAAACACAATGCGTCTTATAGAGAGCTAGGATAAACCAATGTTTCCTCTAGTGAGGTGAACTAAATACAATACGTCTTATAGAGAGCTAGGATAAACCAATGTTTCCTCTAGTGAGGTGAACTAAATACAATGCGTCTTATAGAGAGCTAGGATAAACCAATGTTTCCTATATAGAAGGCTGAGAAATCATTGTTACTTATATAGAAGGCTGAGAAATCATTGTTACTTATATAGAAGGCTGAGAAATCATTGCTACTCATATAGAAGGCTGTGAAATTATTGCTATTTATATAGAAGGCTGAGAAATCATTGTTACTTACATAGAAGGCTGAGAAATTATTGTTTTTTTGGGGTTTTTTATCAATTTATTTTTCCATCAGTTTTTCATAATATAGGTACAGAACTGGTATTTTCATTTTCACACTCTCTAACACACATTTTGACACTTAATTCACTCATCATCAACATCATCCTGAAAGTTGTCGTCATCTTCCTCATCACCATCATCATCATCCTCACATTCATCATCATCATCATCACCATTATCATCTTCCTCATTCTCAGAATCATCAACATCATCATCATCAACATCATCATCATCATCATCATCATCATCATCCTCACAATCATCATCATCAACATCATCATCAGCATCACTATCTCATCAGCATCCTGATACTAAACGTTCAAACTATCATTCCTCATAGCCATCATCATCCTCAACGTCATTGTCATCATCCATACAGTGTGTGTGAGAAATTATTGTTACTTAAATAGAGGATTGAGATTAATTATTGTTACTTAAATAGAGGATTGAGATTAATCATTGTAACTTATATAGAGGATTGAGATTAATCTTTGTTACTTATATAGAGGATTGAGATTAATCGTTTTTACTTACATGGAGGGAAACATGACCAAATGTTTCTCATGGTCTTCCACCTGGTTACTGTATTTACTGCAAATAATTTTCAAAATATTTTATCAATGTTGATGGTTATTAATAATTAAAAAAAATGTTATAGACTATATATCTAAGAATTTAATTGGAGTTGCTTCCTTTTTGCCACTTGATAAAATTATCAAAAATGGCTATAGCCACATTTCAAATCCCTTTTTTTGCATTTATGTACATAATTAAGACAACAAAGTGTTGTTGATATTTAAGACAGTGACAACACCTTGTGATATATGGGAGATAACTCTGGGAGACAATATAGGTGTGTACAACTTACTCCTCATGGAACTCGATTCCCATAACTCCTCGGTTTTTGACAATGTGGTATTCATCTGGGATCAGGGTGTCTGGTAACACTAAAGGCTGAAATAGATACACAACATGTCATCAGGCTCTATCACTTATAAATGGATCAGATAAAATCTGTGCTGGGCAATCACATGCTTACCTGACAACAACAACAACCAGTTAACATCCATACTAGCTAGTACTTGAAGGTAACAAAAATATTGATTGATTGATTGATTGATTGATAGGTTTTACGTCCGCTTCACTACCGAGTATTTCGGTTATCCAGCAGACGAAGAACAGAAAGGAAATGAGTAGAAGGGATAAAGTAGGGAGTAAAAGAGTAGAGGACGGGGACCGGAAGTGAGGTACTGTGCCGCCTCCAGCCACACCAGCGCCTGCCTATTCTATGAATTTGGTTTGTGTATAAAATTTGGAAGTCCATCTTAATGTCTTAATAAAGAGACCCTAGTTCTAGCGGCCTAAAATTTTGGATACAATTTTCACTATCCTCTGTGTCGGTGTTTAAGCACCTACTCTTTTTCGAAAAACCCAGAGGGATTTTTTCCGTACGTGATTGGACAGTTCTCACACGGGTCACCATTTATAGTCCCATCCGACGGACTGTATATTAGTGGTTAGTGTCATGCATGTGCTGTTTTTTTGTTGTCCGTTCCATGTACTCCTTTCCTCATCATTCANTTATAACCTGGATGGGGGCTGGAGGGGCTGGAGGTTGAAAGATGTGCTGGGTGTCAAGAGATGTGTAGAAGGATTTATGGGTTATATTAAATGCTGGTAGTCTGGACCGGAGTGGTGTTGGGGATGGTTTGTGGGAGGGGGGATAGGTTGATTGGTTGGTTGGTTTGTGTGAGGATATTTTAGTGGTTGTTGTGTTTACTTTTATGTGTATTTAATCATGTATACACGTATATATAGTATTTTACTCTATTAGACATAAGATTGATGTGGGGTGGCAGACTCGTCCGTAAACAGAACTACCCGCACGTGGTCAGAACACATACGTTGCAGCTTTCTTACATCAACCGGAAGTGAGATGTTTTATGTGTTTTGAATTTAATAAATGTTTATTAGTTTTTGTAAGATTAGCTTGCTTTGTTTATTATTTAGAGTGATTGGATATTTTTTTTATTACACTATTCGCTGTGTTAGATAAACAGATATTGATTATTAGTTCATTATTCGTTTATCCCGTTATTCCTACCTAACTAATAGGTCCATATAGCACCATTGGCCTCCCTCCTTTACCCGCGCTAACCTTGTAGGGTTTGATGCCGAATGAGCGAGAGGACCTATTTTACGGGTCGTATTTTACAGTTAATAGTGGTAATACATTTCTATCTTATTTTATATCCGCCGTTTAAGCTTTGTGCAGTCTAAAAACGGCGTACCGCTTCAGATTGTTCATCGCCCCACGGTGGTACATATATATGTATCCATTTGTAGGTACTCATGTATACATATATATGAGCGGTTAGACATAAGATTGCTGTGGGGTGGCAGACTCGTCCGTAAACGGAACTACTCGCACGTGGTCAGAATACATACGTTGCAGCTTTCTTACATCAACCGGAAGTGAGATGTTTTTAGGTGTTTTGAATTTATAATACGTTTATTAGTCTTTGTAAGATTATTTTACTTTGTATATTATTTTGAGTGATTGGATATTTTTGTTATTACACTATTCGCTGTGTTAGATAAACAGATATTGATTATTAGTTCATTATTCGTTTATCCCGTTATTCCTACCTAACTAATAGGTCCATATAGCACCATTGGCCTCCCTCCTTTACCCGCGCTAACCTTGTAGGGTTTGACGCCGAATGAGCGAGAGGACCTATTTTACGGGTCGTATTATACAGTTTATAGTGGTAATACAGTTCTATCCTATTTTATATCCACCGTTTAAGCTTTGAACATTCTAAAAACGGCGTACCGCTTCAGATTGTACATCGCCCCACGGTGGTACATATATATGTATCCATTTGTAGGTACTCATGTATTCATATATATGAGCGGTTAGACATAAGATTGATGTGGGGTGGCAGACTCGTTCGTAAACGGAACTACCCGCACGTGGTCAGAATACATACGTTGCAGCTTTCTAACATCAACCGGAAGTGAGATGTTTTTAGGTGTTTTGAATTAATAAATGTTTATAAGTTTTTGTAAGATTAACTTGCTTTGTTTATTATTTAGAGTGATCGGATATTTTTTTTATTACACTATTCGCGGTGTTAGATAAACAGATATTGATTATTCATTATTCGTTTATCCCGTTATTCCTACCTAACTAATAGGTCCATATAGCACCATTGGCCTCCCTCCTTTATCCGCGCTAACCTTGTAGGGTTTGAAGCCGAATGAGCGAGAGGACCTATTTTACGGGTCGTTATATACAGTTTATAGTGGTAATACAGTTCTATCCCATTTTATGTCCACCGTTTAAGCTTTGTTCAGTCTTAAAACGGCGTACCGCTTCAGATTGTACATCGCCCCATGGTGGTACATATATATGTATCCATTTGTAGGTACTCCTGCATACATATATATGTAAACGGAACTACCCGCACGTGGTCAGAACACATACGTTGCAGCTTTCCTATATCAGTCGGTGATTGGTTTGTTATATGGTTACTTTACTATTGGGTTATCCTTTATTTCAACTTAATTTTTTTTTTTATTCTGCTTCCATCCCTTGTTTTATTAAAAGTGACTTTCCCACCTGCAGGATGTATGAGATATATATTGCTATAAACGTTTTTCGCTAAGTCACTTTAGAGTTATTTCCCTTATTTTTTGGGCGTCAGGGGTATATAACAAAAATATTTACACCAGTACTGTTATATACTACAGGGAGGGCTGTATCGTGGTGGCCTGACTTTCTCTGTCCACCAGTACAATACTGTTATATACTACAGAGAAGGGCTGTATCATGGTAGACTGACTTTCTCTGTCCACCAGTACAGTACTGTTATATACTACAGCGAAGGGCTGTATCATGGTGGCTTACCTTTCTCTGTTTGTCCAGATGCTCCTTCCTTACTTGACTTTTATCTATCTTCTCTGGCCTCTCCAGCAGCACATCTGCTTTGGGAACATCGTACAGGAATGAAATGTCACTGAAAAAAATGAGTTTTTTTCTGGTAATATCAGATCTTTTTTTTTACGAATACAGTAATACAAACTGGCATGAACTTTCACCACTAAAACTGACATGAACTTTAACCTATGAAACACAATTGACATTAGTCTACATTGCTCATCAATAATAATAGTGTTATAAACTGCTTGTGAAGAATACATAAGTCACTACAGCATGTGATACCAAACTAAGGTTCAACTACAGCAAATCACTTATATTTCACAAGACAGGTATCTCCGAGTTAATTAAAAATTTAAATCAATCATGTTATCCATTTTTATTCCTAAAACAGCTGAAATACAACCTACAGTGTAATATTAAGCATCAAACAGTTGATAGTTAATGAGACTTACTTGCCAGCACCACACACACATGGTGTATTTTCTGTCAGATGTTTGAAGCGGTCACGCCTCTTGTGACCCCAAACATTTGCAGGTGGTGGGCGCGTCTGAATCTGCAACAAAACACGTAAATTCTTTATAGATTCTGTGTTTTTTTGAAACATGAGAAAAAAGCTTTTGAAAACCTTAATATCCATAATTTTCTAAATTAATACTGATATTGGTATAAGGAAGCGTATATTTACTGAGGTGGTACTGAGGTTCCTAGCCCTGTTAGGAGGCCCCAGCTGGTCCCTGACAGGTGGAGGCTGTGTAAGGGCAAACAGAACATCCTCGGGTAAAAAATCACTCTGTAGGGAGGTAGGTAGTGGCTTGGTGCGGTCCACCTGATTATCACTGTTCTTCAGCTCAGGCAATAAACCTTCAAACGAATTCATGAATCAAATCAATCTTTAAATATATTGAAAGCATGTACAAAATTCAATGTTGATCTTTACTTAAGTCATTCCATTAATAAAAGTGATTATGATTTGACCTCAGCAAGCATACAGAATAATTCAATGATCTCATTTTAGAGTAACACATTATCTAATTATGATTAATAAAACTAGAACCACATACAAGGTAGTGGCTAACTAATACCCCTTCCTCACTACGGAAATGGGTAAAATAAGGTTCAATATATACAACTATATAAAATGTTGGCCATTTGATGTATAATGTTATTAGTTTATCCTCTATGTATCACTTCCACAAAGCTTTATGGTAACTGATAAAGGTAGATATCATATGCACAGCTAGGTGATATACTGATTGTGCATACAAAGTTTTTCTTGAAATCAGCTAAAATGTTTAGGAGGAACAGAATCGGGTACCTTCTGTTTGCACTAATTCTTGACCTCTTGGTGTGCCATAAGACGGTCCACCATGGAAACTGTCCTGGCGCGGCTCTACAGTGGCACTCATCTTTTTCTAGGCAAAAAGTATATAAAACAACACTGAAGTTATATGTACACATAAACAAACACATTGTTTTTTTTATATATGACTTTAGACATGGCAAGCTTGTTGGACCAAATACAGAAAAAAAAGTTTTATGAATTGAATGTGCTTGAAAAAGAAAAATCACTTAAAAAAATGAAGTAGTTACTAGGAATGGCATTTTTTCATACTTTCACTTTTGTCAAATTTCATACCTGGGTATACATGTAAAAAAATGATTTTGTTTGGATTAGCCCCAGTATTTCAGCACAATCAACAGTTGAAAACTGAAAGAGAAAGGTATGAAATATGTCATTCATTGGCACTGGTCATTCCTTGTAACATGTCTTGGCCCGGATAGAAAGGTTGTCAGTTAAAATTCAACAAAACTGTTCATGTAATGAGGAAATTGTATTATTTTCTATGATCTATTGAGCATTTTCTTCTGTCCATATACATCATCTTATGCCTGTAGTTAGCATCATAGTAATGCAGCCATCAAACTTCTAGCTGATCATTATATAACTACATTTGTATATGTAATGCAACATCTTATACTGTGGTATGAAACATTTCCTTTAGAATAAGTTACTTGGTCGCACATTGTTAAGTTTCCCTAAATTTTCACAATTTAAAAGAAAGTAAAACTGACAATTATATATTTTTGCTGTCGAACAGTTCGAATAGTACAGAAAAAAATGTTGATATAGCTTAAAGTTAATATTAACTGTTTAGTTGTGTATGGAAAAGACAGTCTAATCTCAAGCTTTTCTAGCCTCCTTGAGTCTTTTTTTGTCATTAAACTCATTAGATTTGTATGTGGTTGACCATGTCAATGTAGCTACATTATTCACACCTCATGAAATTCTTCCCACAACACAATTGTTTGTGATACATAAAATAAAAATCATTTAAAACATTTCGACATACCATATGCTTATCACTTAAATGCAAATATTTAAGGCAAATCAACTTTAGGCAAACTTGATTTCGGGTGAAACGACCTGGGTCCTTACCATCCGGCATCCTTTCTTGCAGCATCGACGACATAGTGTTCAGCTCTGTAACCTTTATCTATTTGGACAGTACATTACAGACGTGTCGATAATGACTATTCTTCATAGGAAAACATATGAACGTACAAAATACTTTGCTGGTATGAATATGAATCCTCATTAATTTTTCATGCATAACCTGACTGTGACTACAGAACAGTATTGTAACCAGAACTGTTGTAAACATTCATTTGTTGTGAACAAAGTCTGGGTTTCTATACTAACAATATAGTATTGAAAGTGTAACTATGCATGAGTACACGGTAAAACCATAAAGTGATGTCTATATAACGACTGATTTATGTAACAATACAAAGACAATACCCTCTAACATTAATGACACTGATTTACATTCACTGCTACTGTAGCACAGTATACTGTACAGCAGGCCTACGCGGGTTCGCTACCGCTACGACATTGACTTGGTAAGGAAAGACGGATGTGTATATACCGTTACGGCCAACTTTAACAACCCCAAAAGTTAATTTTCTTGCGAAAATTATGGAAGTAACATTATAAAATATAAATGCTGTGATGATGTACCTGTTTATATTGATCGCCACTTCAGTCTGCCGTATACGGCGCCATTTTGATTTACAGTGTTGTCAAGGATAACGGAAACGGAAGTCACAATAAAATCCAATATGGCTGCCAAAGGAGAACTACACGTGGATTTGTTGTCAAAAGATTTACAAAGTATTTTGCAAAAATATCCAACATTTTCTTTACAAAAAGGACGAGAAAAGGTACTTGTTTCAACGATTCATACCATGAATTACTTAATTGGCGGAGATTATTCCCTGATTGAAACGTCGTCGATGCCAACTGTCAAAACCGGGTGGCACGATTTACCCCAAAACACCCCAAGACACATAAAAACATCAAAATAAGACCACAGACGACACGTAAATATTATTCAGTAAATATTATAATGTAGTAACATAATTTTCTGCAAACGCAAAATAGATTGAAATAATCAGAACCTTAAAAAAACAAGTACGAATTTTCTTTAGAGCAAATGCACTTATCAGATACAAAATGAACATAGGCTACCTATGTCAAATAATGTGGAAATAGTGAGAATACCTTTTTATATGTCACATGTAGAAATAAACACATACACCTGTGCATCATGTCCATATTCCATTTATTCGTTGTCCATGTCACAAAGGCATTTGTCTGAAATGCATCAGTACACACATTCAGTTTTCTTGCCGACAAATCATACATTATAAAGTCATGAGAAAATAATCTAAGATTGATTACCGAATAACATTTTGACTATAATTCTCAATAAATGTCTTGATAATTATAACACTCATACAGCTGTAATTGTTCATTTACAATTGGTTCACACTATAGATTACGTGTCAATATTGCCATAAGTTACACTGAAGGACAGTATGTTGTAATACGACAAGTTAACAGTAATCACAAATAATTCATTCACTATGAACAGTATAACTCACCCTAAGGAAGGTTTGGAGTAATTTACGAATTCACTGTTTTCCTACATTGAGTAATATCGAACAGCCTGTGGTAAACAAATACAAGCGTTCAATGACCTGTACCAATGCACATATCTACATGATTGTAAAAAACAACATAATAAAATTCGCTAATCTCTGGGATTCGATCCCACGACTAAGAGGTACGAGTAACCTGACGATTACAGGGCTACAACGTTATCCATTACGCTACTGCACATACTATGTTAAACAAGTAATGAATATACCGATAGACAATTACAATGAGCTACATGCCTATAGATATAATTGAACACAGATATACATATAGTAGCGCACACAAATATGGAGTTGGAACTAATATACCAAATAATCTAAGTAAATCTTATAATTAATACTCCATATACTTATACTCAATCATAAATAGATATATTACTCACGTATTTCTTATATTTCTTGTCGGAGATCGGTGAGCTTGAGTATAGTCAAATGACATCCGAATGACCAGCTGTCTAATCTGAAACTGCTCACTGCTAACCAGGAATTTACTTTTGAACTGACCGCTTGATTGTGATTGGCCGAAATAGTTTGTAAATGTCTGTTGATAGAAATTTTAATAATTATATATCGGCGATGTAATTAATCAACGTAGCCAATTAAAAAATCATAAACAATATCTATAAAACTAATTAGTAAAAATAACATTAATATAGTGTTAACGTACTTATATGTCACGTTATCGTCACATGATCCAGATAATTACGGAATCTTCGTACTATATTAATAATGTACATTACAGAATAGGTTACAAGTAAATACAGAGCGTGTACAATCCACATTGTTACATATATATCAAATATCGATCTTCTGTGAATAGGCAAACGGTAAACTTGTTTGCAGGGGAAGTGACTCGAATACGTATAGTTAATGTTACTCGCGTCACTATAACTATCCAATTAACGGGAAACATCATTATGTTACATAATGTCAGGTAGCAGAAATATAAATATCTATGTGTATTAAATGTTTTTTGGGATTTTTTGGGGTAAATCTTGCTGCTGGTCAAAACCCCTGACAATCAGACAATGTCTAGTGTCCTGGCGAAGCATTCTCCCTGACTGTACAGCGTTCTCCCGCGACAGAGGATCATTCCTTGGCATAGCCTCCTTCCCAGACACGCACCTTCTGTGATGACAATATTATCCACTGACATAGTTATGATCATTATTAAAATTAATATCTTCCCTGGCATAGCTTCCTCTAAACAGCTAAAGACATATTAGCTTATACAGCTAATGGCACAGTATCCTGCCCTTGATACAACCTCCTTCCCATACACAGTGTCCTCCCTGACACAGCATCTTCTCTTCATACATCATCCTCTAATGACAGCATTCAGTCTTCATCATCTCCTGTCCTGAATTATCACAACCTAAATCTATTGAACTTGGAGTCTGTAGTTGTAAACCCCCCACTCACAGGGTTTACATCCTTCTCTGACAACCTGACTGCAGCTATATATTAAGTGTTAATGTAAAGGTGTTAGTTTTCACAATTGAAGAATGAGTGATATTTGCTTGATAACTTCACTTTTATCATATCATTGGTATCAGATTTATGTTTTGATGAATTACCAGATAGCCAGAGCTAAATCAAGGTAAAAAAAAACACCCAATGTCCTTGGTGGAAAATTCAGGGTATCCAGAAACAAAATGTATATGTTTATATCCTGTTGATGTGAATTACTCCATTTACATCCAGTCTACTATTATCATCTTCTTTAATTCAATAATTAGATACACCACCTTTCCATACTGGTTGTTTCAGATTCAATGTGAGCTCAGTGGCCATGAGATGCCATGCAATTCTGAAACTATTAATAGCTACATCAGTGGTAAAAAGTTCCAGAGGCTGCTTGCTCAGAACACATTTGACTATGAAAAGTACAAACAGCACATCATCCCCAGTACAAAGAAGGGAAGAGCGTAAGCATTATGTCACTTTAATGTTGTAAATATCTTTATCTAAAATGTGAATTCTTTTGACCAGTTTTTACCCTATAAGAATATTGTCACTTCGTCTGTAAAATTACACTTTTGTTGGAAAGGTAATATGCCACATTTATGTTGCTCTTGTTGAGATCATGACATTCTTTCACAAAAGTAAATATAACAGCATAGGCCTTTTAAATTGCTCTTAAAAATCATCATTTGCAATACTCATGAGCTTCTGCTTATTATTATTTTCCAGACATCAGTTGTTTTGTTTGCTGACTTTGAGACACATGAACAATTTACCACACCACATAAAGCACCATGTAGAGGGCAGACGGTTCCTCAAGGCTCACAGACGATGTAAGTCACTACCATCACTAGTGATGAGCTGATGATCGAAAATTGATTGGTTTGCCCTTTCTGGTTATGGATTACAAATTCCATAATCGATATAATCAGGTTCATCAATAAAATCAAAGTATTTAAATGTCTTTCATGTAAAGTATGCTCTGAAAGTCATATAATCTTATGATTTTAACTGATTTGTACTATATTATTGATAAAAATGTATAGAAGTTGCTTGATAACCATTAATTATAAAAGAACAAAACCTAATGTATAGTGAAAAATTCTGTCTATTGATGTAATAGTAGTGCTCTCATTTTATTGGGGTGTTCAGTCCCACAAAAGTATAAACCGATTATGCAATCGATCATCAATCCGTTTACTACTTCCGATTACAAACTGATTATCGATTATGATTTTAAACCGATTGACCACCACTAACTATCACATAGAGTACAATGATCAAAGTTCTTACAGCAATATAACTAACTACTGTCATTAACAATTTATGTACACATAGTGCTATGTACAATTATATACCGGTACATTATATTACATTTAGCGCTCTGTTGATTTTGTGATTCTGGTTTTGTATGTAACATGTTTATAATACCGTGACCATATTTAAGTAGTAGATTCCTCTTTCTGCATTTTTTTTTTTATGATTGCATCAAAGTTAAAAATAACTAGGTATAAAATACTGTCAGTCACATTGCAATCAGCCTGTGACTATTTGGAACATAAGGGCAGTATGACAATCAAGGTGTGAGTATTGTAAAATAAAATCACTACCTGGTTACAGGGGAAGAGTGTCAGAAAACAGGGCAGGTGTTCAAGCCCCTGTCAGGCAAGAGGAAGCAGGCAGAACACGACACTTCTCATCCATATGAGGCTGAATCTGATGATCAGGAAAGTGATGTGGATAGTCTAAGTGATCTGTACCCAGGTAGGTGTTATATAGTAATACCTGGTACCACTAGTAAATATATATAACTACAGTGATCTGTAACCAGGTAGGTGTTATATAGTAATACCTGGTACCATTAGTCAGTATGTATAACTACAGTGATATGTACCCAGGTAGGTGTTATATAGTAATACCTGGAACCACTAGTCAGTATGTATAACTACAGTGATCTGTACCCAGGTAGGTGTTATATAGTAATACCTGGTACCAATAGTCAGTATATATAACCACAGTGATCTGTATCCAGGTAGGTGTTATATAGTAATACCTGGTACCACTAGTCAGTATGTATAACTACAGTGATCTGTACCCAGGTAGGTGTTATATAGTAATACCTGGTACCACTAGTCAGTATGTATAACTACAGTGATCTGTACCCAGGTAGGTGTTATATAGTAATACCTGGTACCACTAGTCAGTATGTATAACTACAGTGATCTGTACCCAGGTAGGTGTTATATAGTAATACCTGGTACCACTAGTCAGTATGTATAACTACAGTGATCTGTACCCAGGTAGGTGTTATATAGTAATACCTGGTACCACTAGTCAGTATGTATAACTACAGTGATCTGTACCCAGGTAGGTGTTATATAGTAATACCTGGTACCACTAGTCAGTATGTATAACTACAGTGATCTGTACCCAGGTAGGTGTTATATAGTAATACCTGGTACCACTAGTCAGTATGTATAACTACAGTGATCTGTACCCAGGTAGGTGTTATATAGTAATACCTGGTACCACTAGTCAGTATGTATAACTACAGTGATCTGTACCCAGGTAGGTGTTATATAGTAATACCTGGTACCACTAGTCAGTATGTATAACTACAGTGATCTGTACCCAGGTAGGTGTTATATAGTAATACCTGGTACCACTAGTCAGTATGTATAACTACAGTGATCTGTACCCAGGTAGGTGTTATATAGTAATACCTGGTACCACTAGTCAGTATGTATAACTACAGTGATCTGTACCCAGGTAGGTGTTATATAGTAATACCTGGTACCACTAGTCAGTATGTATAACTACAGTGATCTGTACCCAGGTAGGTGTTATATAGTAATACCTGGTACCACTAGTCAGTATGTATAACTACAGTGATCTGTACCCAGGTAGGTGTTATATAGTAATACCTGGTACCACTAGTCAGTATGTATAACTACAGTGATCTGTACCCAGGTAGGTGTTATATAGTAATACCTGGTACCACTAGTCAGTATGTATAACTACAGTGATCTGTACCCAGGTAGGTGTTATATAGTAATACCTGGTACCACTAGTCATTATGTATAACTACAGTGATCTGTACCCAGGTAGGTGTTATATAGTAATACCTGGTACCACTAGTCAGTATGTATACTATTTACAGGAATGAAATTGTTACCTGCGATATCGTATTATAAACCCCAGGTGTTATATATAATACATGCATTAGGTTGTATTTTTATATACCAAGATAACCTAGGAAATGAGAGAAATTACAAATACAGCCCAGGTGTCTTCTTTGTATAAATATTTATGATTTCCTCATTTCAACAGCTGCAGATTTTGAAGAGGATGATAGTGAAGAAGACATGGATGGGGCAGACAGTGCCGAGGTTGAAGATACAAAACATCTTAAAAAGAATGGCAAGGTCTCTACTGAAGATGAGTCTGACTCAGACCGTGAATTTGAAAATCTACAGAAATCGGGAGTTACATCAGCAGCATTAGACACTGTAGCTAAGACGAGCAAAAGGAAACACAAAAAGGTAAATTACATACAGAGATGGTCAGGTCTCTGCCAGACAACTCATAGTTACTGATATGGTGCTGCAGGACACTGTGTGGAGAATAAAGACTTGATGGGGGGATGCGGCAGTATTTGTGTGTAACATTCTCAAGTAAGATAGAACTATATAAATTAAAAGTTGCCACTGGAACTTAAGTCCACCAGAAAACAATACTGGGGGTGTACAAATGTCTTAAGGAGTATATCAATTGTAGGTCACTGTAACCTTTATTTTCTATTTCATTTACTTTGGTTAGACTTTTCATTTAGTTCCATTTCTTTGGCTGGATACTTTTTATCAAGATTGCAGCGGAAAGGGGGTATGTGTATGTTTTAAGTGTAGATTGGGGAGGTGGTATGTGTATGTTTTACGTGTAGATTGGGGCGGTGGAGAGGGGGTATGTGTATGTTTTAAGTGTAGATTGGGGAGGAAATATGTGTATGTTTTACGTGTAGATTGGGGCGGTGGAAAGGGGGTATGTGTATGTTTTACGTGTAGATTGGGGTGGGGGTATGTGTATGTTTTACGTGTAGATTGGGGCGTGGAGAGGGGGTATGTGTATGTTTTACGTGTAGATTGGGGTGGTGGAGAGGGGGTTTGTGTATGTTTTACATGTAGATTGGGGAGAGGGTATGTGTATGTTTTACGTGTAGATTGGGGAGGGGGTATGTGTATGTTTTACGTGTAGATTGGGGTGGGGGTATGTGTATGTTTTACGTGTATAAACTGCAATTATTACTGTTGCATTCTTCTAACTTCAGGAAAAGACACCTACAAAACAGATCAAGAAGAAGAAATGATGCACAAAACAACTGAGCCAAAACTTTCTACCATCGTGTCATTGTGTTTTATGTCGGCCTCACCACTTTCTACCATCGTGTCATTGTGTTTTATGTCGGCCTCACCACATTAGTAGAGAGAACATTAATTGTTACCATTTCTGTTGGTTCATCTGTAAGAGAACGTAGGTGCAATTCTTGGATTGTATAAATCCCACAATCGTCAATGTAGTATCAGTGTTATACTGTGATGATCTGTGTAGGATTACTATGATATTGTCATGTCCTGGAGTGTAGCATATGGGAATTTCATTAAAAATTTCATTCAAGGGGTTTTCCAATTTGAAAACCCTGAGTACAAATTTCTCTATCCTACACCCTTCAACATGAGAAATTGTTTTTCTCTCATTCTAATCACCAGAACTAGCTCGGAAACAATAACAAGGTGTCACAATGTCCACATCATGGTATCGGAATGATCCCAGTTTCGTGATGTCACATCATTGTTGTCATGCAGGTGAAATGAGATGTAAGATAGAAATTTCTTCCACTCCTTTCCTACCCTGACGGTTCTGTTGTATACGCACAGCAATGAGAGAAAAAAGTGCAAAGCTGGCAGTGTTAAATAGACGGTATCACAACGGGCCAGGTACATTATATGGGAAGCCATCATACACACCTGTGCCGATGTGATCGGCGATCAATTGAGTTGATGTTTTAACAGTGATACATGTATTTAAATTGGCTGTAAAAAGCAAAATAAAATATATTGTACCAGATAATAAAACTATTGATTTTTCATTGAAATCTAAAGGTAATTTCATATGTAAATGGAAATTAGCAGAATTGTTAAAACACCCATTATACAGTATCATTGTAAAAGGAAAGGGAAAAGAAACTGACAGAATGGTATTTGAACCTGGGACCTCTGAAATCAGTAGACGCTTAAATGGACTAAGCTACCTGGTTGATTGACCCAGTCCAGTTCTGCCACATTTCTCTTTCCTTCAACAAAATCTTTAACCCCAAAGACACACAAAACTCTTTACTGTCTTTCATGAGTATATTCAGCTGGGTGCCAAATAAAAAAAAAAAAGAGAATGCAACGGGACTGGGATTTGAACCCCAGACCTCTGAATTCTAGACAGACACTCGCATTTGATTGAGCTACAGTGTCACCAGTGACAAACCCAGTCCTGTTTAACCATTCCGTTACCTATGTCTGTATGTCTAAAATGATACTTGCCAATCACAACTATCTGTCTTCCTCAAATCTTGAATGAAAGTGAGCTTGTCTTCCTGACTTCCTTAGTAGTCTTTTACACCTGGTAGGTTGTTGAGGTATGAAGGTGGAGTACAGTAGGCTGACATTGATGGACACTTAAACAACACATCACCCATACGAAACAGGGCCCTTATTGAGATGTATTAGTTCATCATAAATAAACATTCTGTACCCATACTAAAAGTCAAACTAATTATACTAGAAATCTGTGTGTGATACAGGACATATCCTCAACCCAACCTGCTCCAATACAATTCTTAACAGTTCAAAATTAATTGTCTGCTAAAAATTGTTGTGATTCAACCCGTGTCCACTTGTACAGGTATTTTACATTTCCCCTGTTGGCCACATTTTCTTACAGATGATAATTAAAGTTAAGGTCTTTTTTCAATCAAAACATTGAATATTTATATTCGAAAGGATACATAGTTAACTGGTGGTTTGTTTATTAGGGATGGTCCTATGATTGATGTCGCTTTCTGGCCGCCTGTTACAAAGAACTTAAGACCTGGATTGATATTTCAGCACCCAAAATACTAAGTTTGAACTTTGAATAGTAATATAGTCATAGGTTAAAACCAACATACTAGGTACGATAGTTATATAGTCGTAGGTTATAACCAACATACTAGGTACAATAGTAATATAGTGNGTAGGTTATAACCAACAAACTAAGTACAATAGTAATATAGTCGTAGGTTATAACCAACATACTAAGTACAATAGTAATACAGTCGTAGGTTATAACCAACATTCTAAGTACAATAGTAATACAGTCGTAGGTTATAACAAACATACTAGGTACGATAGTAATATAGT